CTGCCATTCGCAGCACCAAGCTACGTACTTGTCAAAGAGACAAGTCGAAAGAGAGGGTTCGGGGTGAATAGCAAGTATGATGAGGCCACACTAGATTTGCTACAAAAGGGCACACATTTTGACGAGTGGAATGTAAACAAGTGAGAAATTGTGATTGGGCGGCAGTGGGATTAGAGGGTAAAGAGTAGATAGATAGACCAGGACAGAAAGAGGAGTGATAGTGTAACCGTTTTCGGCAAAATGTTTGTCGAGAGATTGGCTTCACTTGTCTCTTTGACGAGTTCGTAGCTTGTTACGGCGAATGGCAAAACTCACTGATGATGTCGACTACGAGAATGTACCAAGTCCACTGTCTGATGCCGGGAATGATGACAACCACTATGGCAGACAACTTCGTACTAGGTGCGTTCTACTAAGTCGCCTTGACAACAAGACCAAGTTTCGACAACGAGGTCAACCCACTTGAATAACTTTAGAGGCCTGACGTTTCACGTGACTAGGGCGAGGGATTGGGTCACAGAAATCGGGCATTGTGACCGAATTGACTAATAATCCACTCGAGATAGAGCAGGCGACAGGAGATAGATATCCACAGTTTGCTCAGGGTACACGGGCTTAATCGATGCCCAATATCTGCAAGTGTGTGGGAATCATAGCCCAGGCTGTCTGCAGATGAGGCGAGTTTGTACGTGCCACTGAAGGCTTGAGAAATAGCGGATGGAGTAAAGCGTACTGGGGATGGATGCAAGTGAAATCGGTCAACCAGAAAGATATGAAACGGATCTGGGCGGGAGGTTCAATTCGGATTAGCCACTCGAAAGGGAGGGTACAAGGCAAACAGCAGGTGTGATGACGCTACGGCAAATTCGCCAAAAGGGCATACCTTTTGTGGAATATAAACATGTGAGAAGTTGTGATAGGATGAGGGCGAGATAAGAGGTTAAGAAATGGATAGGGGAAGTAGTACAGAACGAGCAGTAACAGCACAACCGTTTCGACACAAAGTTGGTCAAGGGATTGACTTTACTTGTCGCTTTGACTAGTTGTAGCTTGGTTGCTGAGACTGGCAAGACACACTGATGATGCCGGCGAAAGGTCTGCAAATGTACCACGTTCATGGTCCGACTCTGGAGATTATCATGCATACTATGGACTCCGGATCATAAGTCTTCTTGTCAATATGACCAAGTTGTGAAAACAAGGTCAAACTTATATACCATAGGTCAGTGATTCCCATACTGTGCTTCAATTTGTGAAAATGTGCAGCGATTTGCAGCCTCATCCATCACATTAATTATTAAATATTAATTTAATGTTAATAAAGTAAAAAGAAAATAATGAAATATTTATTTATTTTTATCGCTTACTTACGAATAGTCATACTTAGGGTAGGGCGCCATAGAAAAATTTTGATTGAAAAAGGGCGCCGCGACTAGGAAAAGTTTGGGAACCACTGACATAGGTTATACGTAATGAGATGTATTCACCCTATTTCGTGTAAGGTGAT